TGTAATCTAGATCACCTACTTGTTTTTTCCTCTCCGTGACCAATGACTTCGCAGGACATTGCTGTCCTTGACTTGATGAAGTTTCACACCTGGCATGCTATGTTCAAGAGCACGAATCCGTCTTCCTTTATAAAAATAACATCGGAGTGGGAATAATGTCGCATTTCTGGAATAGGATCTGATAAGTCCGGTTTGGTGCACTATAGTAGGAGTCTTGCGGTGATACAGAGTTCAAGAAGACACATTGTCACTTCCAAATCAACCATATTTTAGCGCGGTGTCGCGTGGTCCACCTGTGGAGCATCTTATCTCTCGTGCGGCTCTTTGATTGACTATTATTACTCCCAGTTTGCAGGTCACCAGGCCACAAATCAGACTCCTTCGTCGGCTCCACCATGATTCGACTAAATAACACTGATTGATTTCCCAGATTCTGCAGGAAGGATCTTTGTGCTCTGGATTGGCTTGTTACTCAGTAATAAGAACACCAGGAATAATGTGAGGGCATCTACACTGCGGTGACGATGGCCGATTAGGGTTCGCGATATGCTGGCCGATAGTTAGAGTATTAGTAAACGGCGCAGTCATTGCATGCTCAAAGTTTCTGTTTTGTCGGAGTTCGTTCTCGTTGACGGTTGAACGTCACTTGAAGCAACGCCCACAACGCACAGCTCGAGTATAAGCTTACCTTCTGGTTCATATCCTCTAACATTTTCAAGATTTTGAACAATGTAGCTTCATTGTAGCCCTCCCCCAGCTGAAATCTCGTTTTCAAGTGTATTAAGATATAATATATTTCAATGTAAGTGAATTTATCTCCGTCATACAGACAGAGATAATATATACAAAGTAGTATCATACATCATTATCATGTGGGACGGGGTAGAGAAGGTCACGAGAAAGGATCCCGTAGTCCGAAAGATGGCAGCATGACGAGGGGTGTGTAAACAAAGACTTCATCGTAGGAGTGGAGGGACAAAGGCGTTGACACAACGCGCGAAAGTCGCATCGCTTTGGGGTTCACACCGTTGGCTTGCCAAAGTCTCTTCTTGAGCTCGTTGACGATAGTCCTTTAAGCCCAGTCAGCGTCAAAGTGGATCGTGCACGGATGTTCATATGAATACACTTACTCTGCTCACTGCCTCCTGGTTATCTTGGGGCCTTTCGGCTCTTTGGGATTATTCGGCTTTTTGGGATCATTCGTCTTTTTGGGATCATTTTTGGGAGTGGGCTGTGAAGGGTAATTGGTCTTGCCTCCCAGCCCTTGATTTCGAATTGTTCGTTGGAATTTTGTTATCAATTCTGGGACCATTGTTCGGCGACTTTTCTTGTTATCTGGATCAGCGTTTTTGGGAGGTTTCTGGCGCATTGGCCTACTCCATGTTAGTAAAACAGTCAAAAAACACAAGAATAAACATCTACTTCTCGAATCGAGCTTGTGACGCTAGACGCCGGATATGTTTGTGTGCGATAGTGACCGCAGTTCTAACGATAACAGTAAAGTCAGCGTAAGTAAGGTATCCAACACCATGTAAGCTCACTTTACAGGCTGGATTGTAGTGGCAAGGCCTCCTTTCGGGTTAGAAGAGGACGTTCTTGATGTGTTGTCGTTCAGCATCAGTTGTTATGTGAGGAAACGCGAGACAGGCTGTTGTATGCAATAGAATGTTGTTGACTTTATATTCAAGATAGGGCCAAACAGAGTCATTATGCACAACATCGGGACCGCCTTCGAGGCTATGCCTTACAGGTTTGTGCATCTTCAGAATACTTGCGCTTCTCTTCTGAAACGCTGTGGAGCAACGTGGGAGAAGATGCCGCCCATCGCATGCGACGATGCTCCTTGTGTGGACAGCTTCTCGTACTTAGTGGGGCTCTAAGAAGCTGATTGTACAGGAATGAGCGCACGCTTTCTGAGGTGGGTCACCGAATCATGAACGCGCGCTCAA